GATAAAAAGCTGAAATTTTATTTCAGTGAACTGCAGTTTTACAGTTAAAAATCCCTTTTATTCTTCCCTTGTTCCTACTTGTGTGCAAGTGGTTAAATCAAGCACTTTCTGACCTGTAGTTGAACACATCATCCCTTTCTCTAAAGACAGCTCGTTTTTAGAACCAAATCCAGAATGTCTTCATCAGTCTTCCCTCCGGTGATAATCCCTTTCTTGCCACACAAATTGTTCTCATGAAGTTTACAGAGGTGCCATTGGCACATTATGGCAGCACCTTCAAATGTCTATTGGTCTTAATGCTGTTTTTTAATATATATATTTCACCCAGATTCAATGTCCGTTTTATCTTATTTTATTATTTTAGTACTTTGGGGCAAACTTAGGGTTTGAATTATATTATGTTATATGTTATGTTATGTACCTATTTATTTTTTAAAGTTTCCACTTTTGCTATCACTAAAATGGAAGCAACTAAAAAAAAAAGAATAAAAAAAAGGAAAAAGAGTAGATGAGACTTATTATACTGACTAATATACTGACTCCAAATCATTACTGTGTTCGAAGAGCTTCTAAACTCATTGCGGAGTCTCTGAATCTGAAAGACATTATCCTGATGGGCAAGGCCTGTGTGTTCAGCACTGAAACAGTTAATTTAATCTGTGCTGGTGTTTCTAAGCTAAAGCTCAATATGCTTGTCAAATGAGTTGTTTGTAGCATTGAAGGATCGTTCATTATTGACATTAATCTTCTGCCGCAACTCTAATATACAATCTCCTGACTTTTAATTAAGACTTTAATTTCAGCAATAAACCCAATCATAAAACTCAATTTATGAATTGGAAAGCAGTGGAAGAATGAGATCTTGGAGGCTTTTATTCATGGCGGTAATGTAGGCAATCTGATTTGTGATTTGACAGGATGGTTGTGATGTGCATTCAGAATACTTACGGCTGTCCTGTAACGCCATTAAAGCTGCAGTAATTAGATACGCCATGCAGTGTTTTGAATATTTTACCATTTGGGTTGCTGCAATTTTTGGAAATATGTTAATAGGATTGGGTTTTCACTGGGGACTACAGTATAAGCATTCCTCTCACATTTGCCATGTAAAATAACTGTGTTATAATAATGTATTGCCAACTATTCTATAAGACAATTGCAAAATAAACTACTGGCTGGTCATGAATAATAATTCAGTAATAATAACCAGCGGGGGCAGGGGGAGCAATCGAACTCGGGTTCGGACCAAGCAATTGAACCAAGTGTGAAAGCACCCTAAGATGTGCCAGGTTATTACGATGTGGATGCAAGGGTGATGTGGATTGTTGTTAAAGTGATATTTCACCCAAAATGTAAAATTATCCTATGATTTACTCAATCCATCATAGGTGTATATGACTTTCTTTCTTTTTTTCAGAAAAATCCAGTCAGAGTTATATTTAAAAAACGTCCTGGCTCTTCCAAGCTTTATAATGGCAGTGAATGGGTGTTATTTTTCAATAGTCCAAAATAAGTCCAATAAAGCGCATCCATCCATAATAAAAAGTGCCTCACACTGGCCGAAACGGCTCCGGGGGTGAATAAAGGCCTCCTGTAGCGAATCGATGTGTTTTTGTAAGAAAAATATCCATATTTTAAATTTTATAAACAATAATCTCTGGTTTACGCTAACTTTCATACAAGCATTCACAATAGAGCGCCGTTCCAGGCGGATGACGAAGATGTAGGCATAGCAGAAGCACCAGTGAGAAGTGATTAACGCGGAAGCGCAGAAGAGAGAGCAAAACAAAACACTGGTCATGAATTAGAAGCACAAAACAAGGATTCATAAAGCAAATTGTCAAAGGATTTCGATATGAGCCAAGAGACTGGTTTTCCTTTGCCAAAGTAAGGAAACTTTGCTTCCTTTGCTCCTGTAAACAAACGTTGGTTCTCGCGAGACTAGCATATTCTCACTGGCGCTAACACTACATCCTACGTCATCCGCCCGGAACACTGTTCTATTGTGAATGCTCGTATGAAAGTTAGCGGAAGATAGAGATGACCGTTTATACAATTTTAAATATAGATCTTCTTTTTACAAAAATGCATTGATTCACTACAGGAGGCCTTTATCAAAATAAAAAAAAACTTTAGAGGATTTACAATGCTGTTGACCATTGAAACGCGCCATCATAGTCTTGTGAAAATGGTCCATTGGATTTGTCTAAAAGAAGAAAGTCATATACACCTTGGATGGCTTGAGGGTGAGTAAATCATGGGGTAATATTCCTTTTTTTGGTGAACTATTCCTTTAAGTAGTTGCTAGGGTGATCTGGCTGGTTGCTAGGTGGTTACTTGTTAGCTTAAAGCTTTGTCCCAAATGACGCACTATACATGCACTTATGCACTATGTACTCAACCATGTAGTGTATGAATTATATAAGGTTATTTCGTCATTCATAATCGGAGTCTGGTAAGCATAAGATGCATCTCTGAAAAATACAAAAAAAATCGGAATTATTCCAGACTTTTGACTGCCAGTGTACTTCAAAATGTCTTGAAAACTTATCTAGGTGCTGCAGTGGGTGTAACAGCTAGTTTTCATCCATCCTGAATGTAATTTATCAGGCAGAGTGTTACAGTGAGGCAGAGAGATTCTCCAATCCAATCTGTGTGAGTCATACAGTATATTCCTCCATGTATCGCAGACACTAATAAGCCCATATCAAGAGGTAAATGGAGCATTTGGCCAATTGCCCTCAGTCCAAATGTGTAATTTTGCTTCAGATTACAACTCATCAGCGAGTGAGAATTACTCTCCCGACAAGTTTTTCTGTGAACCCGGACCCTTAATTCCCATTTTAAAGTAAGCACCTGAAGGCAAGAGATGTGAGGAGCGCTCACAAAACGCTCTGTGATATGATGCTGTATGGTCCGGGGACCGTGTTGCGTAAAACGAGTTCAAAGCTGCTGGAACGCTGTAGCCGACAGCACACTTTCGTTTCCTCTCGCAGACACGCGTCAGATTTCTACCCTAACAATTTCTTGTTAACAAAAGCTTATCGTATATCCTGTACATGGTGAATTTCAAAAGACCCTGCGGAGGGTGACAGGCAGCCGCTGAAATTACTCACGGACATTTTCTGTGCCAGGCAAGCAGCATCTTTTTTCCTTCCCCGAGGGGAAGCATGAATACTTGTGCAAACCCCTGAATCTAAATCATAGATGCCCAGAAAGGTATTAAATATTAATCACACAAAGGTGGTCAGAGGACAGAGTGAATGGGGTAAATATTAGATGAAGATGGATTACTTCATCTTTCTCTTAGCCATAGGAAGGATTAATTTTTTAGGAAAAAAAAAATAGCAGTTTGGTCAGGGCTGTAAGTTATTTGATTTTGTATTATGAATTAATTGATTACATTTGATTTGTTTATAAGCAAAGAAAACAAAACTGTATAATAAATAAATAAAAATAAAACATACTGCACAGCCAATTTGAAAGTGTTAAATTAACACTCACAGTGAGAAAATTTTCTAAAACACTTTTTCGGGGTTTATATAGGTCCACACTAAATAGTTAAACTAGCACTTTAAATAGTTACACTTGCATTGAGTAAAAACACTGTAAGTGTTCACCATTAGTGTTTTCCCTCCCCCTCATTTACACCAAGTTAGTGTTGAAACTACACTACTTGTCAATATCTTAACACCAAGAGACTTATTTCCACACTAATATAGTGTTCACAGGGCTCTAGAGTGCGACCAATTTGGTCGCATGTGCGACCTAATTTCTCAATGGTGCGACTAAAAAAAAATCTGAGGTTGCGCCGGTGCGACCAGCCATTCGAGGGGAAAAAAAGTCTCCGCGACTATGAAAGTCTCCCTGTGGTTCAACAACAGACACACATTAGGCCCATATTGTGGTCTAAACCAATCAGAGATAGTGAAGGGCGGACACCCCCTCTGATTGGCCGTGGTCCAGATATTCCTGTACGTGTGTGTACGTTAGAAAATGCGTGTGCTGCTGTCACATACAGAGAGAGGTGAGTAGCCTAGGCCTGTCAGAGCCCACTGAAATTAAAAGGGGGAAGTGTATACATTTCGAAGAGAGTGGCTTGACTAATTTCCCTGGCTAAGAGACAGTAAAGCCGATAATATAATGCACTGCATTTACTGTAAAGAGTGTGGGAAGAGTGCATTTGTGAGGGTGCACCTAACTTTTGTGCTGGTGCACCTAAGAAAAAAAGTTAGGCGCACCAGCGCAACCAGTGCAAAAAGTTAGTCTAGAGCCCTGGTTCATACAAACCCTGATTAAGGTAATTAAGTGTAATCTGTATTCGACTAAAAATACCTGTGCATTCGGTGTAAAAAAAAGTCAACACGCTGTATCAGTTTGAAATTTTATTTTTAACACAGATGTAACTATCACACCAAAACACAAAAAAAGGTACCATATATTCACCATCATCTGACCCATATAAACACTGCAGATCAAAAGGCCTGTAGAACAAGCTGTTGGCTTTTGACACCAGGGCTTCGTCGTAGGACAGGTTGAAGACATAGTGAACTTTAAAAAGTTCAAAGGCACTCAAGGAGCTGGTTCCAACACAAGGGATGAGGCGCTTGTCCACAACGACGTAAAAGTGGCACTGCTGATCAAAAGGCCTGTAGAACAAGCTGTTGGCTTTTGACACCAGGGCTTTGTCGTAGGACAGGTTGAAGGCATAGTGAACTTTAAAAAGTTCAAAGGCACTCAAGGAGCTGGTTCCAACACAAGGGATGAGGCGCTTGTCCACAACGACGTAAAAGTGGTTGATCCTGCCCTTACGCCTTCCTGATCTCAGTAGGAATGGCTGGTGGTAGTAGTTTGCACATTGTTAACAAATGAGACCTTATTGTAAAGTGTTAACATACACAAGCATACCTCAAGCATAGTTCCTATACGACTAAGTACATTTCTAAGCAGAAGAACAAGATTCTAAGCTTACCTTCAGTGAGAAAGTCTCGGAACATACAATCGCTGTGCAGTTTTACAAATGTCTTCACGCCTTGATGAACATGAAAGCTGTTGGTCAAGAAAAATGCTAATTATGACGTTGTTAATTAAAGAAAATCCAGCGAGTCGCTTGTCAGAAGCTCCATTTGTCACCCCACAAATGTTAACGTTACATTAAAGTGAAATCGCAGCGAGTTAATTGTCAGTTAAAGTATCTACTATTGCAGATGAAGCGCACGCACGTCAAACACATCTCGTATGATGAGCAAATATTAGTTCATAGTCATACGCTGGCAGAAAATATAGGTTCAGCAAAACGCTTCTTGCTTGATTATCTGATCATTTATCTCCGCTGCATTTTACTTTGCAGACGAGAGTAACCACGATATATTTCATGTAAACGCCTCGGATCATCCGAAGCTGTGCGTTCAAGGCCCACGTAAAAAAAAACGTCTCGGGTTACTTATGTAACCATGGTTCCCTGAGTAGGGAACGAGACACTGCGTCCTCTAGGGGTCGCTATGGGGAACGCCTCGTCGTGACTCGTATCTGAAGCATACATTGAAAAAACACCAACTCGTTGGCCGGCGACAGCCATGACGTCACTACCGGTGCGACTACAGTATAAATCGGTGCCGGGAGCTACACATCGTTCACTTCTTCGTCTGAAGCTTGCGTCCGCAGCATGGCAAGAAACCTAGAGGACGCAGTGTCTCGTTCCCTACTCAGGGAACCATGGTTACATAAGTAACCCGAGACGTTCCCTTTCATGGCGACCCCTAGAGGACGCAGTTCGAAGTTCCCATGAAAGGGAACTCAGTTACTGATTGCTGCTCACTTACACAGTCAGAGATCATTTGTGGAACAATGCACAGTTATACTAAAATACTGGAGACAAATGCATTACAATGTCTTTTGGTAACACAAATAACGTGAGCTCCAAGAAGGGGAATATGGATGCTGCGTTATTTGCGTTGATTTAACTCATTAAACAGTCAAGTTACACAAATCACAGAAATGACCCTGTTATACCCCAGATTCTAAAATATAAGAAAACGTACGTTTAAAACGGCTAACTAACAAACAATGCCATTCTTACCTCAATTTGCTTGCTAACAAGTGGTGCAGCTCAATGGCCTCGAGATGCTGTCGGTGGTCTGTTGCGTTATCTGAAAAGAAATACTGTTAGCACTCTGGCAATGTTGAGAAATGTATTATTCTGAATGGTGAGAAATGTAAACTACACATGAAAATGTGTCAATTTAAGTGGTTGTAAAATATTATACCTGTTTGAACACCGTCCTCTCCTCGTGGTCGGCCGCCATTAATCAAAAAGGAAATAATGTGCAAGGACCGGAAGTTGGATCAACTCATCACCAGTGTCAATTATGTCAACTCGCTGTAATTACACTGACTCCGACCACTGATTTACACTGCAAGTGTTAATGCCATTCAAATCAACACCAGAATCAACACTTTTTAACTCTGATAAATTAACACCATAAAAACAACTCTAAACAACACTGGATATTCTGCTGCGTGTAAAGAAATGCACTTACAAATTATATAACAATTTCTATAACAATATAACAATTTCCAGTACTTTGTGGACTTAATCTTGCATATGTAACATGCTCTGGTTCCTTTCTCATTGATAAAGTAAAAATAATAAAATTAAATTAAAATGTGAATTTCTAAATATAGATTTTTTTTAATGCATTGCAATATATTATGTAATATACAGTGCCGTGAATAGGTTTTTGCCCCCTTCCTGTTTTTTATTTTTTGCATATTTGTCACACATAAATTTAGATCAAACAAATTTTAATATTACACAAAGATAACCCGAGTAAATACAAAATGCAGTTTTGAAATAATTATTTAATTTATTAAGGGAAAAAAGCTGTCCAATCCTGCCTGTATGACCTCTTGGATGAGTCGTCGTTGCGCTCTTGGAGTAATTTTGGTCGGCCGGCCACTCCTGGGAAGGTTCACCATTGTTCCAAGTTTTCTCCATTTGTGGATAATGGCTCTGACTGTGGTTCAGTCTCAGAAGCCTTAGAAATGGCTTTATAACCCTTTCCAGACTGATACATGTCAACTATTTTGATTCTCATCTGTTCTTGAATTTTTTTTTGATCGAGGCATGATGTGTTGCTCTTGAAGCATGCTTCACTTTGTCAGACAGGTTCTATTTAAGTGATTTCTTGATTCAACAGGTCTGGCAGTAATCAGGCCTGCGTGTGGCTAGTGAAATTTAACTCAGCTTTCTAAAATAATGTGCTTAATCACAGTTCTTTCATGATTTAACAGGAGGGGGCAATTCATTTTTCACGTAGGGCGAGGCAGGTTTGGACAGCTTTTTTCCCTTAATAAATAAAACATCATCATTTAAAAACTGCATTTTGTATTTACTTGCATTATCTTTGTGTAATATTAAAATTTGTTTGATGATCTGAATCTTTTAAGTGATACAAATATGAAAAAAAAAAAAAAACCCGGAAGGGGGCAAAAACCTTTTCATGGCACTGTATATTTGAATATAGAAAAATACAATTAAAAATACTTTATGGACTTTATCTTACTTGTAAATTGCTCTGATTCTTCCTCCATAAAGTAATAATGCTAAAATTTGGAATGAATGTAAATGTATAAAATTTGATACATTTATAAAAATGTTGTAAATTTGTAAAATAATAAACTTTTTAATTAAAATGTAAATTTCTAAACAGATTTTAAATTACGTTTTAATATATATTATATAATATATATTTAAATACAGGAAATTCTAATTAAAGATAAACTAATATAACAATTTTCCTATAGTTTATGGACTTTATGAAATCTTGCATGTTAAATGCTCTGATTCCTTTCTCCTTCATAAAGAAAACAATGATATATTTTAGAATTTTAAATTAAAATGTAAATTTCACATAGATATAGATTATGTAAACATACAAATATATTATTATACCATGTACATTTAAATATAGAAAAATATTATTAAAAATAAAATCATATAAACATTTTCCAGGACTTCATGCTTAATCTTGCAGCATGTTCTGATTCTTTTCTTATGTATTAAGTAATAATGTTAACATTTAGAATGTTAAATTAAAATGTAAATTCAGATTATTTTTTAAAACATATATATTGTAATGTGTGTGTGTGTGTGTGTGTGTGTGTGTGTGTGTGTGTATGTGTGTATGTATGTATGTATATATATATATATATAACTAAGACTAAAAAGTCTGTTCTGATAGGGATATGCTTAACGCAAATAATAAAATGCAACAATTTTGGTAAAAAAATGTTGGTGCTATGATGGGTCGCTGTTTGGGTCCTGAATAAAGACCAGTTGAGAACCACTGTATTTAATAAAAAGTATTTGCCCCTCCCCTGTCAATCAAATTATTCAATTGCATATTTTACTGAAATTTGATTTAGCATTTTTTTGCTTTTTCTTTTTTTTCTATTGAACCCTGCACATCTTTTCAAATATTTTCATTAAAATCGTCCTGTCTCAAAGTGTTCCCATATGCATGTGATTTCCTTTCATCTTGGGTTTCCATTTGTTTAGTCAACTTCAGAGAGTGGGAGACAGATAAGGGAGAATGCTGGAAAAGAGAACACAGAAGAGGGGATAAAAATCTCCCATTAATTTCTCAGCAGATTCATTGACAATGTGCCTGGTGTGATGAAAAAGAAAGATGTTTCTCATAGTTTGATAATGTGTGTGGAGCCAAGCTGAAATTGACTCGCTCAGCATTTGGCGCCTCCCACGCCTGCGTGACGGATTAACCAGACCTGATAAGAGCGAGCGGCGCTGGGATTCCTGCTCCGGTGTCTATCAGATGCAGAGCCACACTGGAGCCAGCACTGAGAGGACTCACCAGCTTTTGTTTAGAATTCATCCTTTATGGGATTTTTAGCCTTTCTGCAATGGGATCCGTTCATGTTGAGCCAAAAGGATATTTTTTTTCATGATCGTGTGCTCTATATGACAAACCTGTTTGTAGACTTTGCTGTATTTTGGTGGATTTAGGAGGCCAAGGTGACATGGATCACTACTGTTGGATCCATTTATATATATTATATATATTTTGAAATTTTCTTCTAAAATGAGCATTACATATATATACAGTAATATATATATATATATATATATATATATATATATATTTGTTATTTGAAATAAAATATTCAATAACTGATGTTTTACTAATTAATTTTAATTCATTCTAAAATAACATAAAATGAATTAATGTAGATTAAAAACAAAACCTAAAAAATTATGAAACAAATACAACAAAAGTACCACAAACTTTAACAAACACTTATGTAAAAAATAGAAAAATAAAAACTAATTAAAACTATAATGATACTAAAATAACACTAATTAATATACAATACATACAAATATGTATGTGTATAATATAATATTTATTACTTAAAGAAAAACAAGTACTTTTAATAGGGCTGTCATTAAATATTAAATCACAATTAATTGTAGAAATATCTTTCTTTTATATTTCTTTCCATAGAGAAATGCATTTTCAGATTGTAGTCAAATAAAATAAAAAATAATTCAAAATAACATATAGTAAATATAGTATATAATTATAAATAATATAAATAACGCATTTAATAAAAACATTTTTGCGTAAATTATTACGAAAATAATATAATTCCAAATTAAATAATTTCTAGTACTTTATGAATTTTTTTTTATATATGTGCAACATTCTCTGATTATAAAAAAAATATTTTTTCCCCTGCAAATTATGGAGTGAATTGTCTCGGTTACGTATGGTAGCCCTCGTTCCCTGAAGGAGGGAATGGAGACGTCACGTCGGATGACCGACGAAATTGGGATCTCGCTTAGAGAAACCAATCCACTTCGAGTGTAAACTCAACGAGCAATGCACATGCATGCGATTATTGCATCCAGCTGCTGCTGATCACAGCGTGAGTATAAGTAGGCAGCAGATGCAGTGCATATTCAGGTTTTCGCTGAGGAGCCGAGCCGGTGACCCGGCCGCTCAGCGGTGGTACAGGAGCTGTGGCGACGGGACGTGACGTCTCCGTTCCCTCCTTCAGGGAACGAGGGTTACCATACGTAACCGAGACGTTCCCTTTCAGTCGGTCACTCCCGACGTCACGTCGGATGCTACCAAAAGGCCACAGCTACTGCCCCTTCCAGTGTCCTGTGGAAGCCACCTGCGCCCCTACTTTTTGGCGTAGGCCAGGGCTTGCACAAGAGGGCCAGCTACTGCTGCTATGGCACAGCCCACTGAGTAAGACTGGATAACACTGGGAAA